GTTCCTAAAGTTACGAAGTTGATAACAATTTTTGGAAAACAGAAATTAACAACCAAGAATAAAATTTAGACTTGTCTTTAATAGCGTAAAAAAAAAAGAGGCCAAAATCATTCTCATATATATATAAAAGAATGTTTAAAAAATAGATTGTTTATTTTTTAGAAATGTAATAATAGTCAATAGAAATAAAAGTTTAGGGAATAATAAAGAACTAAAGGTTTTAAAAGTTGAAGAAATCATAATTATAGAAATAGATCTCAGAATTTCTAAGAAGTTGTTTTGTGCTTTGTGGTGTCAGTAAGCATCAGATAGTCTCTTGTTGAAGCTTGTACTTGTCAAAGGCTACTGTTGTCCCTCAAGTGAACAGTCTTGGCATTAACTAAAGACTGTTATTCCATTGAACCTGTCACCTCTGGGTTGGTTTACACTTTGCTAATATATTCTTCTTCTATTTGAAAGCCTCTCCCACGTCTGGTTTGTAACTTGAACAAGGGTGTGGTAGCCTCTTATTCAACCCCAGTTGCTCAGTGTTTTGGAGGTGAGGGGCAGGACACTGAAAACAAATACCACTGGGTTATGTCATTGTGCTTGAGGTGGATGAACCACATTGGACTTGCCACTGACAAATGTGACATGCCCTTTCTGGGTCCACCCATCTCAGTGTCCCATTTGCAACACGAGGGCACTGTCGCAAGTGGGCCCTGTGTTTCATGCACTTCCCAGGTCTAAGCCAATCAGGCCCTTAGGTGCTCGGCAAGGGCCCTGACCATGATTGTCTATGTGCTTTGTGCTCTTCCCAGGTCCAAAAACTCAGGTGACTGTGTGGTGGGCAAGGCACTGTCCCAGTTGGGCCATGCATCTTATTCAGCTCTCTGGTCCCAGACACTCATTTTGCTGCCTGTGCCAGAGGACACAGTCTCAGCTGTGCCGTGTGTCTCCTCAGGGTAGCTGACCCCAGGCTGTTACGATCCTGATCTATGTGAACTGTCCATGAAGCCAGGAATGCATGGTTAGCAACTGTCATCCAGCTTAGAGCTCTGTGGGAGATGTCTTTGGGGCCAAGATACCACTAGCCTATTTCCTTCTGCCTCTGGCAGTCGTACACATTCTTCTCTCCCTCCATGGAGGAAAAGGTCTTAAATGGAAGCTGGCTAGGTCTCCTTTGGTATTTTCTAGTGCACAGTTTTCTGTTCTGTGAGTGTGCCATGGTTCACTATGTGGTCTTAGAGCCTTCCCTCAGGAAAAGTCCTTTTTAAAATTTTTGTCTCTAGTGTTCTCATGGTTTAGTTTTCTATGTCACCTTAGCTGCATCAGTCTCCTCAGGGCACTAAAGTGCCTCAGGGCACTGGTTCTAACCATAGTGTGCTTGATACAGCCCAGGCCTCCCTCCCAGGCCCCACTGAATGATGGTGGACAGGAGCATCTGAGCCACTTCTTGGTTGGTAGCTGCAGTTACTGACATAATCTGTGTTTTTGTTCCTCCCTCCCGCCCACAGTTCTGTTTCTTCCCGCACTGACACCTATGAGAGAGGGTTTCCTATTTTGTGCAAATTTCCCTTCCTTCATGACTCTCTCTCCAAGATTGGTCTCCATCCCTAAAAACTTTTCCTCTCTTTATATCTCTTATTTTATCCTACCTCCTTTCTAAGAGACTGGTTTGCCTTTTTCGGTTTCTAGGGCCCATCAACATCATTCACAAGTTGGTTTCTGGAAGGTGTTCCATGTGCAGTCGATCCATTGATGAATTTGTGTGGGAGAAAGTGGTCTGTGCCTCCTATTCCTCTAACATCTTGAGACCTAACCACGACCCTGGAAGATCCATTTTATTAACTGAAATCTTGTTGTTGTTCAGTCACAAAGCCATGTCTGACTCTGCGAGCCATTGGGCTGCAGCCCACAAGGCCTCTCTGTCCCTCAACATCTCCCAGAGTCTGCCCGAGATCATGTCCTTTGAATAAGTGAAGCTATAGAACCTCCTCCTCCTCTCTAACCCACTTCTCTTCTTGATTTCAATGTTCTCTGAGAATCAGGGTCTTTTCTAGTGAGTCAGTTCTTTGCTCAGGTAGTCAAAGCTTTAGAGACTCAGCTTCAGCGTCAGTGATTCTAACACATCTTAAGAGTTGATTTCCTTTATGTTTGACTGGCTTGATCTCCTTGCAATCCAATGGACAATCACAAGTCATCCCTGGCAGAGCATTTAGGTGTTATCACATCTGTACATGTCTACTGGCACGAACAAAGATGTGATTCTATGGACCTCCATTGGTCAAGTCATGTCTTCACTTTTTAACATGCTTCTAAATTTGTGGTAGCTTTTCTTCCAGAAAGCAACTGTCTTCTAATTTTATAGCTGTTACCACCAACTGCAGTGAATTTAGAGCCTCAAGAGAGGAAATCTGTCACTGTTTCTACCTTTTCCCCTTCTATATCTCATGAAGTGGTGGGACCAGATGTCATGATCTTACTTTTTGTAATATTGAGAATTCTGTTTGGTACTTGGTACTGTTTACCAAGTGTTTTCCCATCAACATTGACAATTAATGTTTTCTTGTAACTTTGTTTTTCCTCAGTGTTTAGGATAAGAAATTATTTTCTAAGAGTATTCTAAGATGATAGTTACTCATTATATATAATACTTATGATTTTAATTTTCCTGCTGGAAGCAGTTGTGCCATGCTTCTGTGACAACTGGGTTAAATATTGATAAAATACACAGTCTATAAAATATTTACCCATTAACATAACATATTGAGCCTGTTCATGTTATCTAGTTAGATTTTCTCAAATGTGGCAACTATAGAAATACAAAGGACAAGATCCAAGAGATATGATGTGGAGAGGGGGCAGGAAGCTGAACCACTGTGGCATGAAGGGAGATAAATTTTGATCATCAATGATTTCTGTTGAAATATTTTGTAGCAGAAGTTTAAAGTGATGAAAGAAAATTTTACATACTGAATTATGGAGAAGTGATTCTCATGTCTACATCATATAATTTTACCGTTCAGCTAGCCAGAAGAGCCTGATTATGATCTATGAACCATGCACTGTACATCCATTTTATGCATTAAATGGGTAGCTGTTATCTCAAGTCCAGCTAGATGAACATTGTGCATGTGGTTCAGACATGTTCCTATGTTATTACAGAATTGAATGTTTAAAATTGTATCCAACGTGAGGATAGCAACAGCTTTCTTAGAATAATACCTTTAAGTAACTGAGAGTGGTGATTTTATGGGCTCAAGGTATGCTCATAAGTATGAACCCCATCTGTTATTACAGAAAGAATAGTGGAAGATGAGCTAGATTAAGGGAGAGGTTTTCAGGAAGATTAGAATTATTCAGCCAGAAAATTATTAAGTAATACTGGGTTTCCCAAACTGTTCATTTAGGAACTTGGGGGCGAGCAAAGAGTTTGTTCAATTGAATAAAGTAGCTTAAAATTATATATATATATATATATATATATATATATATATATATATATATATGTAATACACATACACACATGTATATATGTGTGTGTGTATGTGTGTGTGTGAGTATAAAAAATAGTACAGTGGCTTATAATTCCTGTTAGGTATAACAACAATGGAAAAAATTAAAATGCAAAAGTAGAATGATTCAAAAGCCTACTTGGTTATTGAATATATGTAAAGTGGAAATACTTCAAAATGTGTTTTCTTGCCCACATCTAAAATATGAGGACTTTTTTATATCACTCCCCTCTTTCCTTTTAATGAATATCTACCAATTTTCAAATGTTTGTCCAGGTTTAATGACAAAAATAGACAGATATACTGTTTGCATAACAGAAAATATTGATACCAAGTTTAGATCTCAGGATTATTTCTAACTCCAAGCTCCATTTAAACAGGAAATAACCAAAGTTGTTGTTGACTCAAACACTCCAAAAGCTGGGGAACCTGAAACAGAAATTGAACCTGCAATTGAGATTTTCTGTCACATTTATGATCAACCTCTAAGTCCAACACTTTATTTCCTTTCTTTTTCTAAGCAGTCTCTTCTTTATATTGAAAAGTATGAAAAAAGAGAGAGAGACATAGGGGATTGTACACCTCCTCATGTTCCAAGAGTAATTTTATTCAGTGAAGTTAGAAAAGGCAGAAACAAAGGGAAATAATCAAGCAATATAAAATAATGATTTAGCCATTAAGCAAAGTCAAGGATCTTAGGTTCCTCCTCAAGGGCCATAGATAATATTCTGAGCAATATTCTGTGCGCAGTATTAGAGATGCTAAAGCCCTAACTAAGCTGAAATTTAAGTACATAGATCAGAGTAGATGGAACTAGCTGGTCAATGATGTTGTCTCCCAATATCCTCAGTAACAGGCCATAGTAGAATGTCCTAAAACTGATCACACACCCCATGGCCTACCCTCACTCTGTCATTAAAATCCTTCCCCTGAAAGCATTTGGGGAGTGTGGGTCTTTTAATCACCAGCTGCTAGGTTGTCTTGCTTGGTCCTACAATAAACACTACACTTGCTTTCACTGCAATACACAGTCAGTTGATTGACTTTATTGCACAGAAGTGAGCAGACCCAAGTTTGGTTTGGTAACAGTACTGAATAATAAGGATGTGTGTATAGAAGGGTGATAAATCTTTTTTTTTCCAGGAACCAAGTAGATTTGTTGATGTGATTTTTCTGTGTAAAAATTCTTTAGGAATGAGATTTTGCAGGTCTCATAGTTTTGGTTGCTATTTATGTAAGCAGCCTGTATTTAAGTTGATACAGAAGTAGACACTGGTTGAACATTACCCTTCAATTGCTAGGAGACCAGTGACTTTGTGATGTCACAGCTACCCTTCAATTGCCAGGAGACCAGTGACTTTGTGATGTCACAGCTTTTTGACTTTGAGAACCACTGTGATGGTCTAGAGAATTCATCTCTGTAGGCCAATTAGGCAGCATTTGAAGTTGCGGTGTGTAAAATCAGACAAATGAGAAAAGTATCTGAAGAAAGATTTCTTTGAGATGGCACATTTTTCTTCAGAAATTCAAGATGTGCCTCCTAAAGATGAATCAACTGGTTCAGAAACCTCCATTAGATCTCCTTTGTGTGATTACACACTTAATGAGGACTCAGTTTTGAGATCTATGATTGAAGAAACAGCTTTTCAGGCTTTGTGTGAGGAAGCTGTGATAAAAATGCCATGTTACACATTTTCTGTCTCTGAAACAGATGAATTCAACGATTTTATTTCACTCAATTTTCCTCAAAAACTTTGGAAGATAGTTGAAAGTGATCAGTTTAAATCTATTTGGTGGGATGAGAGTGGCACTTCTATCATGATCAGTGAAGAAGTCTTCAAGAAAGAAGGCTTAGAAAGAAAGGCCCCTTTCAGAATATTTGAAGCTGATAGTATGAAAAGTTTAGTTCGACAGCTTAACCTTTATGGGTTTAAAAAGCAACAAACTTTTCAAAGATCTGCTTCACTAGCTGACTTTCTGGAAGAAGAAAACAATGTCTCTGTTTTGAGCAAGGTATTCCAAACTTTTCACTTATTATTGGCAATATGTAAGATTAAATCTTGTGACTTAGAAAGCATGTTCACAAACGTAGCTAAAACTTAACTTAAAATTGAGATAACAAACTGTTGAAAAGTTTTATTTTTTGAAGTTGAGAACAGCTAGAGGTTAAAATATTTGATATTTAACAAACATTCCTAGCAACTTGAAACCAGATACAAGTCCTAAAGCTAATTAAAGTGGGATTTACTATATATGTTTACAACATATTTTTACTTGGTATTTACTGTATATGTTTACAACATATTTTTACTTGAGGATCATAATTGCTTCTAACATGTAAGGTTTTTTTTTTGTAGTGCTTATGCTTTCATGATTTCTTAAATTATATTTTAAATTTTAATTGGAGGCTAATTATGTTACAATATTGTAATAGTTTTGCCATACATTGACACAAATCGGCCATGGATGTACATGTGTTCCCCATCCTGAACCCCCCTCCCACTACCCTCCCCATCCCATCCCTCTGGGTCTTCCCAGTGCACCAGTCATGAGCACCGTGTCTCATGCATCAAACCTAGACTAGCGATCGGTTTCATATATGATAATATACACGTTTCAATGCTATTCTTTCAAATCATCCCACCCTTGCCGTCTCCCACAGAGTCCAAAAAACTGTTCTTTTCATGTATGTCTCTTTTGCTGTCTCACATATAGGATTATCATTACCATCTTTCTAAATTCCATATATATGCTTTGGTATACTGTATTGGTGTTTTTCTTTCTGGCTTACTTCACTCTGTATCATAGGCTCCAGTTTCATCCACCTCATTAGAACTGATTCAAATGTATTCTTTGTAATGGCTGAGTAATATTCCATTGTGTACATGTACCACTGTTTTCTTATCCATTCGTCTGCTGATGGGCATCTAGGTTGCTTCCATGTCCTGGATATTATAAACAGTCCTGTGATGAACATTGGGGTACAAGTGTATCTTTTGGTTCTGGTTTCTTCGGTGTGTATGCCCAGCAGTGGGATTGCTGGGTCATATGGCAGTTCTATTTCCAGTTCTTAGAGGAATTTCCACACTCTTCTCCAGAGTGGCTGTATTAGTTTACATTCCCACCAACAGTGTGAGAGGGTTCCCTTTTCTCCACAGCCTTTCCAGCATTTATTGTTTGTGGACTTTTGGATAGCAGTCATTCTGATCAACGTAAGATGGTACCTCATTGTGGTTTTGATTTGCATTTCTCTGACAATGTGTGATGTTGAGCATCTTTTCATGTGTTTGTTAGCCATCTGTATGTCTTCTTTGGAGAAATATCTGTTTATTTCTTTGGCCCATTTTTTTTTGGTTGGATCGTTTATTTATCTGGAATTGAGGTGCAGGAGTTTCTTGCATATTTTTGAGGTTAATTCTTTGTCAGTTGCTTCATTTGCTATTATTTTCTCCCATTCTGAAGGCTGTCTTTTCACATTGCTTATAGTTTCCTTTGTTGTGCAAACGCTTTTCAGTTTAATTAAGTCCTATTTGTTTATTTTTGCTTTTATATCCATTACTATTGGAGGTGGATCATAGAGAGTCCTGCTGTGATTTATGTCAGAGAGTGTTTTGCCTATGTTTTCCTCTAGGAGTTTTATAGTTTCGGTCTTACGTTTAGATCTTTCATACATTTTGAGTTTATTTTTGTGCATGGTGTTAGAAAGTGTTCTAGTTTCATTTTTTTACAAGTGGTTGATCAGTTTTACCAGCACCACTTGTTAAAGAGGTTGTCTTTTCTCCATTGTATATCCTTGCCTCCTTTGTCAAAGATACGGTGTCCATAGGTGCATGGATTTATCTCTGGGTTTTCCATTATGTTCCATTGATCTATATTTGTGTCTTTGTGCCAGTACCATACTGTCTTAATGACTGCAGCTTTGTAGTGTAACCTGAAGTCAGGCAGGTTGATTCCTCCAATTCCATTTCTTTCTCAAGATTGCTTTGGCTATTCGAGGTGTTTTGTATTTCCATACAAATTGTGAAATTATTTGTTCTAGTTCTGTGAAAAATACCATTGGTAGCTTGATAGAGATTGCATTGAATCTATAGATACCTTTGGGTAGTAAACTCATTTTCATTATAATGGTTCTTCCAATCCATGAACATGGTATATTTCGCCATCTATTTGTGTCCTCTTTGATTTCTTTCATCAGTGGTTTATAGTTTCTATATATCTATATATATGTCTTTTGTTTCCCTAGGTAGATGTATTCCTAAGTATTTCATTCTTTTCGTTGTAATGGTGGGTGGAATTGTTTCCTTAAATTCTCTGTTTTCTCATTGTTAGTGTATAGGAATGCAAGGGATTTCTGTGTGTTAATTATATATCCTGCAACTTTACTATATTCATTGATTAGATCTAGTAATTTTCTGGTGGAGTCTTTAGGGTTTTCTATGTAGAGGATCATGTCACCTGCACACAGAGTTTTACTTCTTGTTTTCCAATTTGGAATCCTTTTATTTCTTTTTCTGCTCTGATTGCTGTAGCCAAAGCTTAAAAAACTATGTTGTATAGTAGTGGCCAGAGTGGGCACCCATGTCTTGTTCCTTTAGGAACATTTCCTTTAGGGTAAATGCTTTCAATTTTTCACCATTGAGGATACTGTTTGCTGTGGGTTTGTCATATATAGCTTTTATTATGTTGAGGTATGTTCTTCCTATTCCTGCTTTCTGGAGGGTTTTTATCATAAATGGATGTTGAATTTCGTCAAAGGATTTCTCTGCATCTATTGAGATAATCATATGGATTTTATCTTTCAATTTGTTAATGTGGTGTATTGCATTGATTAATTTGTGGGTATTAAAGAATACTTTCATTCCTGGGATAAAGCCCAGTTAGTCATGATGCACTATTTTTTTAATATGTTGCTGGATTCTGTTTCATAGGATTTTGTTAAAGATTTTTGCATATATGTTCCTCAGGGATATTGGTCTGTAGTTTTATTTTTTTGTGGCATCTTTGTCTGGTATTGGTATTAGGGTGATGGTGGCCTCATAGTATGAGTTTGGCAGTTTACATTCCTCTGCAATTTTCTGGAAGTGTTTGAGTAGGATAGGTGTTAGCTCTTCTCTAAATTTTTTCAGCTGTGAAGCCATCTGATCCTTGGCTTTTGTTTACTGAAAGACTTCTGATTACATTTTTTATTTCTGTGCTTGTGATGGGTCTGTTAATATTTTCCATTTCTTCCTTGTTCAGTTTTGGAAAGTTGCACTTTTCTAAGAATTTGTCCATTTCTTCAAGTTGTCCATTTTATCGGCATATAGTTGCTGACAGTAGTTTCTTATGGTCCTTCATTACTGTATAGTCTCTCGTGATTTCTCCATTTTAATTTTTAATTTTTTTATTTGATTCTTCTCCCTTTTTTACTTGATTAGTCTGGCCAGTGGTTTGTCAATTTTATTTATCTCCTCAAAGACCCAGCTTTTAGCTTTGTTGATTTTTGCTATAGTCTGTTTTGTTTCTTTTGCATTTTTATTTCTGCCCTATTTTATTATTTTTTTCCTTCTACTTACCCTGGAGTTCTTCATTTCTTCCTTTTGTAGCTACTTTATATGTAGAGTTAGGTTATTTATTTGACTTTTTTCCTCCTTCTTGAGGTAAGCCTGTATTGCTATGAACCTTCCCCTAAGCACTGCTTTTACAGTGTCCCATAGGATTGGGGTTGTTGTGTTTTCATTTGCATTAATTTCTATGCATATTTTGATTTCTTTTTAAAATTTCTTCTGTGATTTGTTGGTTAATCAGAAGCGTGTTGTTTTGTTGGAATTTTTAATATTTTTTCTCCTGCAATTGACATTTAATCTTACTGCATTGTGGTTTGGAGATGCTTGGAATGATTTCAATTTTTTGAATTTACCAAGGCTAGATGTGTGGCCCAGGATGTGATCTATCCTGGAGAACGATCCATGTGCACTTGAGAAAAAGGTGAAATTCATTGTTTTGTGGTGAAATGCCTTACAGATATCAATTAAGTCTAACTGGTCCATTGTATCATTTATTTATTTTTTTCCCATTTATTTTTATTAGTTGGATGCTAATTACTTTACAATATTGCAGTGGTTTTTGTCATACATTTAAATGAATTAGCCATGGATTTGCATGTGTTCCCCATCCCGGTCCCCCCTCCCACCTCCCTCTCCACCCGATCCCTCTGGGTCTTCCCAGTGCACCAGGCCCGAGCACTTGCTCATGCACCCAACCTGAGCTGGTGATCTGTTTCACCCTAGATAATATACATGTTTCGATGCTGTTCTCTTGAAACATCCCACCCTCGCCTTCTCCCACAGAGTCCACAAGTCTGTTCTATACATCTGAGTCTCTTTTTCTGTTTTGCATATAGGGTTATCATCACCATCTTTCTAAATTCCATATATGTGTGTTAGTATACTGTAATGGTCTTTATCTTTCTGGCTTACTTCGCTCTGTATAATGGGCTCCAGGTTCATCCATCTCATTAGAACTGATTCAAATGAATTCTTTTTAATGGCTGAGTAATATTCCATGTGTATATGTACCACAGCTTCCTTATCCATTCGTCTGCTGATGGGCATCTAGGTTGCTTCCATGTCCTGGCTATTATAAACAGTGCTGTGATGGACATTGGGGTGAAGGTGTCTCTTTCAGATCTGGTTTCCTCGGTGTGTATGCCCAGAAGTGGGATTGCTGGGTCATATGGCAGTTCTATTTCCAGCTTTTTAAGAAATCTCCACACTGTTTTCCATAGTGGCTGTACTAATTTGCATTCCCACCAACAGTGTAAGAGGGTTCCCTTTTCTCCACACCCTCTCCAGCATTTATTGCTTGTAGACTTTTGGATAGCAGCCATCCTGACTGGGGTGTAATGGTACCTCATTGTGGTTTTGATTTGCATTTCTCTGATAATGAGTGATGTTGAGCATCTTTTCATGTGTTTTTTTTGCCATCTGTATGTCTTCCTTGAGAAATGTCTGTTTAGTTCTTTGGCCCATTTT